CCGTAGTACTGTAAAAAGCACGACCAATCATTTTAGCCGGCCCGGCTAAAATAACTGGATGGCCTACCTGCCTGTCAGCCTTTCATCTGTGCACATGTGTGCGTTCGTGTGTGTTGGAGGAGGGGCTCTGTAAGGAAGTCTGAAGGAAGGGGCAGATTTTTTTCGGCTGCGTAGTTTCAAATTCTAGCGCACTCAAGCTTGTTTCTCCTTTCTTACCTACCCTACCTTTAAGGGTGGAGCAGTGTAATTGTTGTAATTCCTGTAATGATAACAATGTTTTCTAGTACTACCTATAACAACGTTGTTACTATCCACGTTAATTATACACCACACAAATAATAGACATGCAAGTTTTTGTTGGTATTTTATCTTTTTTTTCACAGTAGCCAGGTCTCAGTATTTAATTGAGTTAAATCACATGTTAGGAAGGTTTAATCTCAAGGGACATCAAAAAAGAAGCACGGAAGAAAAAAAGTAAGTTGGTTGTGAACAATAAATCATGTAGATCTTTTCCTGTCTCTATTTTTGCATTCATTTTTTCCTGATCTGGTCTGCTCTGTCAACAAATGTTTTTTTGTATAAAAACTTTCATTCAGAAAATGTAGTGATATTTTAAGAATTCATCTTTTTGTATTGATATTTTAATTTTGTGTTCTGCTTGACCTTTTTATCATGACTCAGTGAAGAAAGAAATTTGATTCCACACAGTCCCACACCTGTTGCTGTTTACTTGGTATATCAAGTGTCTCACATTGTCTCTTTGTCTCACCGTCTCTGCTCTGATCTAAAGTATTGTCCATTTTTCAAATATCTGGACAAGATGCTATCTGTTTGTCTGATCAAAAATGACAAAGACACTAGTTTACCAGCTACATGGTCAGTTATGTCCCTGTTAAAAGTCTATCAATTGGAAATAATTACAGGATATGTAGTGTCATACACGTGACACATGAATTATTTAAACCCCCAGGTCTCTTACCTTCTCTAACACACACACACACACACACACACACACAAACCTCTGTCTTCAGTCACTGAAGGGCCACTTTCATCTTTATCATCTGCACGGTTACTCTGCTTAAGGCTAATTTCTCAGAAAATAGGTGAGTTTGTCTTCTTTTTTTCCATTGAGCATTAAGTGAGACAGTATTTGGATTTAAATACTTGTTAAAGAGTCTGTTCTACGTGGTGCAGAAAGCCTGCGGAGTCAACGATTACCTGCATAAGTAGAAACATCAAGACAGGCACAGCGCTTAATCTCACATATACCACCGGACTCAGCATGAAGTTTGTTCCTGTGTAGATATAATCTTGCATACATTAAAATCTCCAAAAGTTTTTCTCAAAATGTGGTCATCTATTTGAAATGTTGTCACTTAACAAAAACATTTATTTACTTTAATTCACAAATTAGTTTTCAGTATCTTAATGGTCTTACAATACCAGTTTCCAGTATTCTCACATGTACCTTACAATGATATCCCCTTTTTCTTCACATTAACAAGACATTTGTTTGTTATTTATGTACGATCTTTCAGTAGTTTTGTCGTAACAAATTAATAGTTGGATAATTTAACACATGGGAGATTAGAGAAGAACCACATTAGCTTTAGAGTCCTGATATCACAGAAAGTAGGCCTAATTGTCCATATTCATAAAGATCTGCACGCAGGAATCAGCATCGTGCCTCCATAAATGTTGATAACCTGAAAAGACAAATGACCTCACTTCCATTGACACTATAACTACAGACAGTTTTTCAAACCTTCAATACATACTGGCACTAACTGTTTGTGCGTCAGATTATCATAAAAGCGTTGATGACTATCAGGATGTATCATGCAGCAGTTATGGGAGGTTATAGCATTGTTTGGCAATAAATACTGGTGATAAATACAAAGGCTCCTACTCCACTTGACTATTAATATCAGAGGGAAAAATGGCAAGGTGATAATTATCATAATTGTTGTATTTATACTAAAAAATTAGGGTGATTTGTTGATTGATAAAGTCGTTTTTGTCCGTGTTGCCTTACTTCCTCACAGCAGAAGCAGGGCAGCAGAATTAGATAAATCCATGGAAGTAAAACAAAGAGTAGGGCAATAGAAGGAGAAAAGTCCTGCTGCCAAACTTGTAAAAGCACATGAATACATTTCACCCACCCATAGTATAAATTCATATTATAAGTTAAAATAACAACTTTCTACCTAATGTTCTGATCACAACTGAGTGTCTTGTGAATGTACCTGTGTGTTTTTCTTTGTACAGGATGGTGTCCCCTGCTATTGCTCTGGCCTTCATCCCCCTCCTGCTGACAGTGCTCATCAGGTGCCGCTTCTACTTTGTGCTGTTCTATCGGGCGGTCCTGGTCAGGATCTGGAGGGACTGTGTTACCGGCCTGAGTCGAGAGGAGCGTGCCTACCAGTACGTTCTCACTCACGCCACCCCCGGAGACCCCGACAGCATCCTGGAAGCCTTCGATGTCTGGTGCAGCAAGGTGGAGTTCATCAGCACCATTGGGCCTAAAAAGGGTGAGGAGATCATTCACATTAAACAACAATTTATCTGGTCACAAGTATGATTTTACATGATGTGTTTTGGTGTGTAGGGAAGGTCCTGGACCGGATGCTGATGGAGCAGAGCCCTCTGACGGTGCTGGAGCTGGGCTCCCACTGCGGGTACACCACAGTGCGCATCGCCCGCTCTCTGCCCTTGGGTGCCAGGCTCTACAGCGTGGAGATGGACCAGAGAAATGCTGCTATCGCCGAGAAAATCATCCGCTTGGCAGGGTTTGACGATGACACGGTGAGAGAGCAGGAACATTTAAACACTTTATGGTATCCATTGCTCTCCATGGCCATAGGTCTACTGTTTACAGTCCACTTATTTATATATTATTTCAATAAGCAGTATTTTATTCCACAGTACAGTATTTCATTTCGCATTCTGTTTTATCTTATTCTATTTTACATAGTTAACATACTGTATATCGGTCATTTCTTGAACCATTTGGTTACTTTAATTTATTATTTATTTGATGTCTTAAGTATATTGTATGTTGCACTGTTGGCCTGGCCTGAGACTAAATACTTGAATTGCAGACATTTACACTGTGGCTAATGTGCATATGACAATAAAGCCTTTGACTCCTGAATCTTTGAACCGTCTGCCTTTTGATAAAAGCCCCAAATGACCTATCTACAGGCCATCACCATAATTTGATTAAAGTTATATCTGGGACATTTATATTTCTTAAGTATTATATTATATGTGTTATACCTATTGAGATATTCACGATGTATGTTTTCCAGGTGGAGCTCATCGTGAATCCATCCGATGAAGTGATCCCTCGGCTGCGGTCTGAATATGGTTTGGAAAGGCTGGATTTTGTCTTCATGGACCACTGGAAGAAATGCTACCTCCCTGATCTGCAGGTAACTAGAACAAATAATAAGGGTATTTAAATATGAGTTAAGCTGAATGTTTACTTACAATTGAAAGCTACTTAAATAGTTTGTAATAGCTATAATCCTTTCCATTGTTACCTGGTCAACTGCCTTGATCACATGATACTGCCTGTGTGTGTGTGTTACAGATGTTGGAGGGTACTGGTCTGCTGGGAAAAGGGTCTATGATCGTGGCCGACAACGTGCTGTTCCCTGGGGCGCCAAAGTTCCTCAGATACATTCGGAAGTGCGGCCTGTACGAGTGGAAGGTCCACCGGGCCACACTAGAGTACAGCCGAGGCATCAGGGACGGGATGGCTGAGCTGGTGTTCCAGGGAATCAAGTAGATCATGCAGACTGGGACATCATCCCACACTACAAGTCAGATATACTACTATAGAGTAGCTAGCAAAGGATGAATTCATTACGGTAAAAACATTTATTAAACTAAATTGTAATGGTAAAGACAGTTGAAAGATCCCCGAAAGAGTTAAATTCACCATAACATTGTGGCATGTCAGTGTGTTATATTATGGAGTTGCATTGTATCTGTTATTTCCTAAGTAATTTCCTGCCAGCACCCCCTCCTGGCTAAAAAGGAGAATGATTAGTGAAAGAAACTGTTATGTAACACTTGTATAACCCCATTGCAACTCTTGTCTTTATACAGAAATAAAAACCATTATACCTGCTTAGGATCTTTGTCTCAACATATTGTGTTAACATAACCCCCACATATTTAAAAAATCAACCATTACATGTTCAAATATGAATTGTTGATGAAGTAAAGTCAATTTGTAGAGAGAGCGGCACATCTTAAATTCACCTACCCCTTTATCAGTACTGGAATCAAGTCAAACCACACTCGATAGAACCAGGTTACATTTTTGGTGTTTAAAACAACAAAATAATTCAAGTGTAGACAACAGAAAAAACATGGTTTCATCAAAATTAGTTAATTTAATACAAAATATTAAGGCTTCTGTTCATTTCAATACAAATAAAAAAGTCTTAGTAAGCCACCAGTGAACATAAAAATGAGAATATTTGGATGGACATTTTATACAACTGACATTCTTCCAAAGTAATGCCAGCCCTTACCCTTGACATAGTGAAGAAATATGAAGATGAATTGCAATATTGCATTGTATGAAAATAATACTATTTAACAAGCTTTTCGTAGGATGCCAATCAGAATATGATACCAGAAACAAAACATTAGCAGCATTCTCAACACTATAAAACAGCATCATATAATATGGTGGTAAAGTATCTGTGAGTCTTCTTCATAGGTAACAAATTATGTAGCTGACTAAACTGTTGATTGTGCTCAGTCAGCTGTTTGGAGAAGTAACACATGACTGAAGACAAGGTCAAAGTTTTAATGAGAGATCACCTGGCTTAATTATACTGCTGCCACAGCATGGGTGTGTCCCCGACTGATCACAAACCAGCAGGACCTTGTGTGTGTGTGTGTGTGTGTGTGTGTGTGTGTGTGTGTGTGTGTGTGTGTGTGTGTGTGTGTGTGTGTGTGTGTGTGTGTGTGTGTGTGTGTGTGTGTGTGTGTGTGTGTGTGTGTGTGTGTGTGTGTGTGTGTGTGTGTGTGTGTGTGCACAGGGTGGCAACACTCACATCTAGTTCAACGGCGTTCAGAGCCTTCAAAGGCAGTTGGCAGCTTCAAAAGTACTTTTTGCTGGATTCACCCAACATCCTTTGACTCAACTATATTTTTGTCTTGTTTGCTCAAAGAAATAAAAAGACATCTGTGACACAGACTGTGCAGCTGCTGTGGGAGTAAAAATGGGAGTAAAAATCCAGTGCCAGACATCGCCGTCTTAAATCATCCATTGTCCTTGGTCTTGATCTGGTCCTTCCATGTCCACCTGATTGAAATAAAAACAGTCAGATTAAAGACAAGTATTTCTCGGTTCAAGGAGAGGAAAAGTAGCAGAACAACTAAAATAACACTTATTGCAATTGCCCTGTACACAAGTCTTGTTTCAGTTTGAAAAGCATCTTATAACCTTAGGACCTAATGATGGGAGTTTTTTTTACCATAAAATATATATATGTAAAGTACAAAGTATGCAATGCTTTAAAAAAGTGGTATGACCTCAATGGGAACCCCTGTGAATGTTCTACGCATCATACTTGCATTGGTTTCAAACAGGACCTGCACCTTTATGTGTGAACACAACTTCAGAACATACAATGCTATGGTTTTCCTATGTTTTCTTTAACAATACAATTAAGAGGGGTTATAAGAGAGATTGAATGTTCTTTCCTGAGACCAAATGTTACCCACAGTCATCCTCAGTCATTTACTGTACTGCTTTCTTGACTGCCAAGTAAGGACAAGACTTTCTGAAAATCATAAATCAAAGCACCTCATTGATCTCTCCGTCATCAGGTGACTCATTGTAGTCATTCATCTCATCCATGTCCTGCATGTCCTCTTCATCTTCAGAGTCTTCCTCGCTGTCCTCTTCATCCTCGTCATCCTCCTCTTCCTCGTCTTCATATCCTGCCTGCGACACAGTAAAGCAAGGAGAACATCTTAACACTGTTTTCATACAGTGGCCTGGTGAAAGTCCAGAGCAGCATTTTAATTAAAAATGCCCCTGCTGATAATATGTTAAATACCAATACATTACCTCAAAAACAGGTTTCCCAATGGGCATGAGGTTGTTGTCTTTCTCAGCAATGCTCTGCAGCTGAGAGAGACAAAGAGCACAATACAATATTACAGTTTGAGTCACTTTAATTACAGTTTTTTCTCCTCTTTCAGTCTAATAAAAAAACATGTCCACTAAATGTGTTGATTTTGAATGTGTGTGATAAACTGAAGGATGAAGGACATGAATAATATGTATAAATGTAAATCATACAATGAATAATTTAGGCAAGATTGATCTTTTTCTTCAACAATACGTCTGTCGCATTGGACGTCCATGTGCTCTGGTGCAATTTCAGAAGTGTTTCTTTATAGGTTTATAAAAGACTTTAGAATTAGCACAATCTTAAAACATTTAGAGCAGTGAAATGCAACAAACCCATTAATGCAATTGTAATATTAAATCAAAGTTAACACATATAATAGTAAAACACTTACAGGTCCTACATAAGTAAATTATGCTGGGTTGTAAATGCAGGGCTTTTACTTAAAGTATTTTCAGTAGTTGTTAGCACTTTTTCTAAATGATCTGAACACTTCTTCCACCCCAGTTGAGCAGAGGTGTTTACCCAGGTCTGGTGCTGCTGCTCCTGCTGGTGCAGCTCGGTCTCGTCCACACAGGGCCGGTCGAGGTTGAACCAAAGGGTCTCGGTTATCCGGGGGAAGAGAGAGGGGAACAGCGTGGACATGTCTGTCACACAGGGACAACAATAAACACTGTGTCAATCAGCAAGTGTTTAGCATGGGTTTTGGGATAATAGTTGGCGAATTTACACAAAAACAAAGAGTTAAATCACGTTTCTAAAAGAATTAAGTCATGATGAAGTATACATAGGATGTGGATGGACATGGTACGTTAACGTAACAAAAACCTAACGTACGATTTAAAGTCTTTATGTCTCATGACGTGCAAAATAAAACATGTCCCCGCTAATATTCTAGGTAAAAAATAACGCAGTATTATGAGGTTTTTGCCCGTAATTCAGAGCGAAATTATAAAAAGTGTAAGTACCTGCCAATCCGTCGCCCAAGCTTTCAAAAATTTAAAAACACATTAAACCGGAAACGCCTGGTGTTCACATCTCAATGTTTCCGATGTCCTCTACTCCAGTGTCCCTTCGCAATGGTTCCGCTTTGGTGTCAGTTGCGGTGGCAGCTGTAACATTACAGAGGTGAAGCAAAAACATAGATTTACGTTTGTTATTGTGTTAATATGGGTGTTTGTGAGCAGTTTATATACCAATACAATTATTCCCTGATGTATTTTGCTAGATAATAGGGAATTAAGGAATTTAGGAAGTTTAAATGCTTAATGTTTTGTAGTTGGATAGTAACTAAATTACAATGTGTAGGTACCTTCTTTGAGAATCTCCATTTCCAGCTACTTTATTTTTGAAGAATTACTCTTATTTATTGTGGTACTTTAATTAGCCTACATTTTGATTCTAATAATGTTATACTTTCATTTAAATATAATGTTGACTGCACCTTTTGTATAACAGATAACCACACTGTGGTAGTATTACCTTTACTTAAATGATAATAGCCAATTAGTTGTACAGCTAAGTAAGTAATAACAAAAGACAAAACTAAAATAACTTGTTTAGTCTCATTTCATTTTTTGATTTAGATCTAGGATTAAAAGACTAATGTCACAGCAGGAACTGGAAAAACCTGCCCATGACTTTATCTTCAGTAGACTCGACTACTGTGATGGTGTCTTTGCAGGTCTCACTAAAAAATCTATTAGAAAGCTGCAGCTGATTCAGAACGCTGCTGCCCGAGTCCTCACTAACACTAAGAAAGTGGATCACATCACTCCTGTTCTGAAGTCTTTACACTGGCTTCCTGTGTGTCAAAGAATTGATTTCAAAATATTGTTGCTGGTTTATAAAGCTTTGAATGGTTTAGGCCCAAAATATATGTCTGACCTACTGCTAAATTATGAACCATCCAGAACTCTCAGGTCTTCAGGGACTGGTCAGCTTTCTGTCCCTATAGTCAGAACTAAACATGGAGAAGCAGCATTCAGTTATTATGCTCCAAATATCTGGAACAAACTCCCAGAAACCTGCCGGTCCGCTGCAACTCTCAATACTTTTAAATCCAGGTTGAAGACTTTTCTTTTTGCCGCTGCTTTTAATTTAACTATTCATATCTTAAACTGCACTGTAACTTTTATCCATGTATTTTTTCTTTTAATGTTTATTTTTGTTATCTTTGCTTTTTAATGACTGTTTTTAAATGCCATTTTCTTAATGTCTTTCATTTTTGTAAAGCACTTTGAATAGCCTTGTGTTGAAAGGTGCTATATAAATAACTTGCCTGGCCTTGCCTTACCGTCACGGTCACACATGGGAAAAAAGCTGCTAGCACAAAGTACAGACATTCAAACCCCTTGGTTTTATTAGGCTTCTCATAAATAAAATCAAACTGTACATTGACAAAATCTCCTATTCAACAATAGGAATGCAGAAATGATTGATATGTGTGACATCTTCTCTTCTTTAAAAGCGTCACCTGAGGGCGTCCCCCTTGAACTTTAGCTACTGTAACTGCTGACACACACACACACACACACAAATTAACCATCATTGGGATCACCAACACAGATGCAGCAGAAACTTATCTTAACTTCCCCCTTTTTTACTTTTATTATTGCTTTCCCAGGTCACACTACACATGTCAACCAAGTGCATGTGTGTGTGTGCGGGAAAACGAGCAGGGTAGACCTTGAGATAAGCCAAACCTTCCTCACAGTAAAATAAGATAAAGTCCAGATTGGCACATGAGCTACATCATTCTCATTCTTTCTTTCTATCTTGAACACACGCAAGCGCACACACACACACACACACACACACACACACACACACACACACACACACACACACACACACACACACACACACACACACACACACACACACACACACACACACACACACACACACACACACACACACACACACAAGAAGCCCTGGTGCAGACTTTGGACTTTGGAGACATGTTCACACATACCCAGATGGATGTGTGTTTTTTAACTCCTGTTTGGTCTTGAGAAGCGTGTAAGTGGTGTCTAGAGACACTGGTTTTGAGGATCATCCCTTCAGGAAGGAATCATCACAAAATCTGACAAGGTAAAACACATTTCTTCACATTTGCTTGTAGAATTCTTCTTATTCTTCTTACAGTAAAATGATTACAAAAATGCATTGGTTGTTTGGCTGAATTCAATAAGAAGGTTTAAAGGTTTTTTTCTACACTTTCTGTTACATTCACAGGTCTTGCTTTCCATTGTGTTTTTTAGGTTGGATTCAGCTATATTTTATTTTTGACTACATGTGTCTGTGCAATAGTCATCACATTTGTTTTAATACTTATACATTTGTCACCCAGTAATGAAAAAAAGAAAGAAAGTGAGTATTCAAATGAAATTGTTTTTTTTTAAATTTTACATAGACATTAATGAGTAAGGCATCAGTGTGTATCATGTCAAAATATGTTTAGATGGCTCAATATCAACATTTAAATACGGCGAAATCAAAACGTAAAGTTAAACATTTAAGTATTAGCACCCCCCGAAGAGTCACAATGTTGGTGTTAACTGTAATACATAAATGTGGTTTCTGTCTTAATTCATTTATAGCCGCGTTCACACCGGAGTACTTTTACCGTACTTTTCGCGTTTTAGTTCCGTGAGTACCCCTTATGTCGCGTTCACACCAAAAATCGTACTTAATCTCGGGTACTTTTACCCCCATTTTTAGAGCCAGCTCAGAGAGCGTACTTTTCTGTGGGTGAAAAGAGCTCCAAAAGTGCCCCAGTGCTGATTGGCTGGGCGAATTGCAAACCACGCCCGTACAACTCTGAAAATGTTGTGTGAAGACGCCATTGTTTTTCCTCGCTACAAAAACACAACGCTCCGTGCGTTGTGTTTGTTTTTGAAAGCAGTTATGGCAAGCATCAAGAAATGATGAGGAGGTGTCGGCGCTTCTGGAGATCTACGCAGAGGACGCGACCCAGGGAATGCACTGAAGCCAGTTCAGTAGCTTTCACTCGACCTGGGAATGTGCACAGCCCCACGGCACACCGGCTAAAAATAAAGAAACTCGGGCAGGACTACAAACGGCGGATTCAGTGGCCGACGACCACGACGAAGGTAAAATCAACTACATGCACTGGGGTTTTAATCTGCACAATAATGGTCTCAGATGTACTTTTATTTGCTCAGTAGATCAAGCTAGCCATGCTAGCCATAATAGGCTAACACCGGCCCCGAGCACACAGTACACACACACTGTAACTTTGTCTTGAAAGAACGTTACGCATCGAACTGATGTTCACAATCATGTTTATTTCATAATATTCATCATATTTTATGTTTAACTTGCCTCAACAACATTAAACAAAGTTCAAGCATACATGAAGCACTCTTCAAAAAGGAACAATCCTCCGTGTTTGAACCTCTTAAATCGCTGCATAGCCGATTTATTTGGACTGGATTATCCCAGAGAGGCCAAACATTCTTTATAACACAGTTTCAGATTTGTGAAACCTTAATTCTATTTGTGAAAATACAAAAAACACATTCCTAGTATGTTGTAAAACTACATGGCGACTAAACTTGTATATTGTATATTGCTTATTTTCCCCTCTTAGGAAAGCGGACACGGGATGCGAATTTCTTTGACACCGCCCAGGCGTTGGAGGACCGGCGTGCCGTGGTGAATGAGTCGCTGCGTGGAGATCAGATGGTGCTGTTCACCAAGGCCCAGGAAACGGAGGACAAGATGCTCACCTCGATGGAGCGCCAGGCAGAAGTGTTCAAGCAGCAGATGGAGCGCCAGCAGCACCAGGATGAAGTGTGGGCGCTGCGCCATGAGGAAGCGTCGGCGCAGCGGCAGGATGAGCGACAAACTGCATTTAATAACAGTTTATTTGGTATAGTTTTTGTAAATAATGACACACGACACACAACGTTGCACTAAGGTGTGCATGCTGCTGAGAATATCCCTACACCTGGGACAGTTTATTTTATATTGTTATTACTGTTATGACTTTATTTTATATATAATGTTTACTGACATGTACAACTGACACTTTATTTACATTTAAAATTGTTCTATTTAATGTTATGTCTTGAGAGTGCAATAAAGAAAACCGACATGGCGATTAAGCTTATTTCTCCTGACACTTTATCTTTTGTGACCTGTGTAGCATCCTATACATCACATGTAAGTGATTATTCTGATACCATCATGTTTCATCGGTTATAAACTGGCAAAGCTTTATTTGTCATTTATTTATCATCAATGTTGCAACCTTGTGGGGGAATGGCAGGGGCACATACACAAATATGACAATTTATATCATTTTAAATATTATTTGACCTAAACTTTTAATTCCCCCCCATTTCACACAACACAACATGGAGTCCACTATGGGCCAAAACTAACATGTATGTTTGCATAGTGTTTATGGCAGACGGATGCAGTGGGTCTCAGGAAGATATATAATAAAGGTGGGTTTGCTGCTGAGACTCCCTACACCTGGGAGTTTATTTTATATTGTTATTACTGTTATTATATAGTACAACTGACACTTTATTTTATATTGACAATGTTTACTGACATGTACAACTGACACTTTAGTTACATTTAAAATATTTCTATTTAATGTTATGTCTTGAGAGTGCAATAAAGAAAACCGACATGGCGATTAAACAGATCCTGTATCAGTTTTTCTTCTTCTCTTGTTTTGTAGCGGGTTGCAAACAACTTTAAGGTGCTTACCGCCACCTACTGTACTTGTAATCTTCCCTCAGGGAAAAGTACTCCGGTGTGAACGCGATCTGTACTAAGTACCCTGGGGTTAAAAGCGCCAGGGCTCTTAGTGCCGGAACTAAGTACAGGAAAGTACTTGGTGTGAACGCGGCTTATGTAGCGTATTATTACTTTTCTAAGTATTTGAAGTGCACGTGTTTCATGGTATGTTATAGTAATGCTAATATGGATGCAGCTTACATGTATTTGTTGTTTTGTGTCTTTGTATAGCTCTTACGTTGGCTTTCGGAGTTTACAATAAATTTGAAATCATCAGTCAAGTATATGACCATCTTTAGGAGGGATATGCT